AGGGGAAGCAAGAACCGCACCCGGCTTCCCCGAAGCCCTTGGACAGAAGATCATACCGATAGGTCGGCGGATATGCGGTGCGGCAGTTGCACTACCTAGGAAGACAAGTCATATGGCGTCGATTTTCATAGAACATAGGCGAAATATCCGCTGTCAAATCCAAATGGCTCCGACATGGGCTGCATCGTGTTCCTGAACTAGTGGTCTCGAGGGGGCTTGCCAAGCACTGGCTGACCAACATCAACCGAGGAAACGCTTTACACCGAAACATTAAGGCAACCTCCCTCGTGTCACTTTCACTATCCAGAGGTGGGGGTGGGGTGTGACAATGCCATCATTACATGATTACCATGATAGCTCAGGGGAACTTGATTGCATCGCCACCTCCCCTTACTTGACAACCTAAATGCCGTATCCGACCAACTAGTCAAATTCTAGGGTCAGTATCTTAATAGTCTGAGAAATGGGTACCACTTTTCATCTGACCACCCGCAGCGAAAGACAGCTGAGCCGGGAAAGTTAGTCGGAGTACACTGCTGGCTCCAACGGGCCTATGCCGTGAAACTGGTTGCTTTGATGGGATATTTTATTTTAATGAAAGTCTTACATTGGTGGTAATGAAATTGGGGAAACTAAAGTCTTAGGTTTGCTTAGAAATCTTCTAGAAAAATCAGTGCGGGACAAGGATAACCTTGTTCGGTCTTTGACCCCCTACAAAAATATATATAGGCTATTTCATCCCTAATCACCATGGTCCCTCGACTTGTCTCATAAAACCAACATAACTCCTTCTTACTATCCACATAAAAATTGATTCATCTCAATCATCCCGGACTGCCCCCCCTGTTTACGATTCGAGCGAATAATTACGATGATGTTGAATGTGTCGGAGGGTGCATGGTATCCAACATGCGGTGTGCGCTATCCACCTAAGCCCTTTCTCTAGCTCAACTGCAAGGAAGTACGGCAGCTGATCACCTATCTGGGAGAATCACCTCAATCATACATTGACGCTTGTTCTCATGATGAACGTATAATTTGTGCGAATTAAGGATTCCATAGCTCTGGATGTACCCTCTGCAGCAGATTGGACCATACGTCGTAACAGTGATCTTAACTTTGTCCTTCTCTGGCTAATTACCTCTTCCAAGCTTCCATGTCGCATTTGCAGAACAAACACCGGCACCTTGCAAAACCAAGCAGGAAGTCCTCCCTATGAGCAAATAAAAGTTATGGATAGTTTAATAGCATGTCAGCTAGGAAACCCACTATAGAAAGTGCAGCCAATATCATATCTGCACCAAGATCAAATTAAACTTCTGAGTATAATCCTCGGCAGATTGGAAGCGGAGCATAGGATAGATGTACACAGTATCTACTAAAAGAGACTGCCTGAACACTTACCTCATAGGCTGTAAGATGCTCCCGGAGAACCTACAAGTCAAATAGAGATACGCGCTGGGCTGGTCATCGGATCGCTTAGGCCTTAACAGTTGATCTAACGAAAAGTACCCTCGAAGCGCTGGGTACATTGATGCCGTTATGGATGTAGTAGTACTCAGTAGGTGTATGCCTGTCTTTCCGGATTATTACATCAATCTACCTATATTACGCGTTTGGGCTAGTCCAACTATTGCGGGTCCTACTGGTGACACCATGACTGACTTTGACAGCAATTAATAATGAGACTGATAATAGTTATGCAGCAGTGCTGCAGAGGCCAAGACAACGGGTCAGAAGGTCCCTGGCCGTTAGAATCAACAACCTCCTCTTCCTTTATGATGACCTTTCAACTTCATAAACACTGATACTCTTTTATATGGCTCGACTGGTCCAGGATACGGTTAAGCGAGCTTATGGATATCTTTGTCGCTTTTCACTAGCGAACAGTAGTGGATGTGCTCTGACATTGATGATCTGAAACAGAATAGATAGGCCTCCGCAACATGTATAATTGACAGACTTCTCAGTATATTTTACGTACCGTAGATGCGCGATATCTCATCCCTTATGTCTGAGTACTTATGTCAGACAACGCAATGCAAGGAACGGCTCAAGGAAGCACTTCCAGTGAGAATCATACTACTAGCCTAAATGAGCACCTATGGTGCATTATAGGATGTCACGATCTAGCAGGATTCATTGAATAGGATTGTGATTTGGAAGGTGAGAGTTGCATAAAAGCTGTATATCTCAGTGGGGTGGACTTAATCCATTAAAAAGAAGAACAACAATATATTATTGCGCGAGGTGCGGCCGTAGCGGCTCCCGAATCTAAACCGGAAGGATAGCCTCGCAGAAAGATACATATGAGTAGCACCTCAAGCCTGCTAAAAATAACAATAATAGATATATTTATTATAAAGGGGCTTTCTGCCGATTTACACTTTTGACCTGAATCTACTCCGTAAAGGGAGTGCTCTCGTTGCGAGTGGGCTCTGCGGCGGCGTTGTCAGGAGACTGTCTTGCCAGTTGCCACGCTACAGAAACCAACTATTTTTATTAGTCGGGTATTAGTGGAGAGAAAGTGATATGGATGGCTGGGTTCTAAAGACCAACTTCTCCCGAAGCGAATCATATGGATAGACATGGATATTCTCGTTCCAATCACTGTCAATTACCCACCCGAAATATGTATGGGGTACAGGATTGCAGAGCTAATGTAAAATAGTACCTAGTCAGACTCCGTACCCATGGTCCCTACCCGTAGACAGAACGCCCGATGTCGTCATCTGCTGCGAGTAGGTCCGCCTATCATCACCCCGATCGTAAGGGGTGTCCATAAATAGGTCCCTAACGGCGGGCATTCCCATGTTCGACACAGTTCGTAAGTCTTTGATTCCAACCGAGCCGGCGAACACGACAGTCAGAGAGGTCGTTCTTCACACTGTCTTCTGCCAGAACTCTAATATGAAATGCTTTCTGTGTATTTATCATGTATGAAGGTAGGTTTATGGACGTACTTATCGCTTTTCTGCCCCTGGGACCCCAGTGACGGAGTAACTCGATGACGGAGAAAAGACATCTATCTGTGCGTGGTGTTTATTTGGAACCCGTGGCTTTTCCGCCCTGCGGTGCAGCCTTCCCCAGCTATACTCCTTTAGGACTAGTTTAGTAATAAGGCGATAAGTGCCCCGGCTACGGAGTATTCAACCTTGGGGAGTTGGCCTTTAATAGTACATTGATATCGTGGACATTGAACATTGCACAATGCGATATCACTACGGAGTAGTTTAGTGTATAGAAGGAATGATAGACAAACCTGTCCCTGCTCAGTCCTGCACATGGCAACATTGCCTGGGTAATGAGGTGCTGCCGGAATAGACCTGGGATGATGAATATCGAGGAAGTGCCTCTCCTGCTTTGCATCTCCGCGGTACAGATGGAAGTGAAATGAACCTCTTTGGTTTCCTCGATTCGAACTAATTCAAACAGGCTCAAAGCATTAACCTTTCGGGTAAATGTAGAACCATGTGCAACTGCCGATAAGTAGTGTAGCCTTGAAAAGGAAAATGGGGCCAAAAGCACCCGGAGTGTGAGTAGGGAACCTCACCAAATCATCTCCGTGGAAAGCATTTAGACACGAGGTGAAAGGGCATGTCGGTCTTAAACATAATCGACATTTAAACCGGGGAACTGGTCGAGATGGAAACTGCGCTACGTCATCCCGGAAGGCGGGAGTGCGTCCTTACATAGCTGGATGGGGCGTTGACTCCGAACCGGCGGGTGTGAGGCTGAGAGAGGTGTTGAGATGAAGCGATGCCAATGGCCCGCCAGATGTCGCTTCCGGTCACTGACAGCCCTGTGGGTAGGTCCATCTCGTCAAAGCGGTGGTGGTGGCGCGCGATGAGGTTGAGGATGCCCTGGCACTAGACCACATCCAGGGACATCAGGTGATATCGGGTCACCCTTTTGGGAGCCCCCAGAATTGTGCCGGCAATCCGCAGGGGTGTGGCGGTATCACAACCTCCCACCTCACCACTCAGGTTCCCAATGATCCTTTTCGTGCCTCCCAGATTCAGTAGTAACGGTTAGTGCCGGTAGGTCAGTCAGTCCTAGGTTTTTTGGTAAGTACTAAGGAGCAGCTTTGTTAGATTAGTTAGTTGGTAGGCTCTCTCCCCTCTCGAGGAATTCCCTCTTGATGGAATTCGGGTGACTGTGACTTGGAATCCGCCAGCCAGCCAGCCAGCCAGTAGTCCGTAGTCTGTTCTGTCGCTCCGTCTGTCGCTCACTCGCTCACTCCCCCATCCATCCATCCATCCATCCATCCCTCCGTCCCTCCATCCCTCCATCTCCCTCCTCGGACGGTGACCATATTATTGCGCGCCCTCATAGCGGACTATTCTACTTCCCTTCCGGCCTTTCCAATTTTGCTCATCCTTTCCCTCGCAACTCCCTCGCGCACACTCTCATTTATTGTCTGAAGATTTCTTTGCCCGCCAGACTAACCAGACCTTGTCCCTCTCTTTTTCGTCCATCCTCGTTCCCTCCGACACCCCTTGGTCCTCCCCTCTACCCCTCCTTTTCACACCTATCCCCAGGCCGGGCAACATCTTCGCTAAGTAGGTTACCGCGGGTTTGGCCAACACGATCCCCCCCCCCCCCCAGGGCTTGCCTACGTCATAGGCTGGACACCCCCAGAGACGGACCATTTCCACCCTTCAGCACAAATCGTCGATCTGCTGGGTCAGTAGCAGAACCTGCTCCAGTGCTTCCAGGAAAGGTCAGATCAGTCGAACCTTCCTCACAATCCCGTTCCTCACCACCACTGCTGCTTGCCCTGCCTTTCCCTCCTCCTCTCCTCTCCCAGCACTACCGCTATACACCGCTTTAGTCACCCTCCCCTCGAACAACCTTTTTCCCTACCTAAATCCTTTTTCGCTTTTACCCATTCTTTCCTCCCTCTCGTGCCTTTCCCTTTTGATATCCCCCTCCCCACAGAATAGTCTGTCTCTCAAGGCCCTTTAATATCACCTAGTTATTTTTTTCCCTCTGGCGGTTTTTTTTTACTTGGTGTTCACCACCGCCCCCTTTGGCCATTTTCTGGGGGTTTTTTTTTCTGCCCTGAGCCAAACCGCCCCTTTTTATTACGTTCTTGTCTTCTTGTATTTTTCCTTACCCTTTCTATTATACACACAACTATCACTCCAACCACCGTTTCCTCCCCTCACTCCCTCGCCATTCCCCTTTCTCTACGTGCTTCTTATCTGTACCCTTGCCTTGTCGATTACGATATTCATTTGATCACGGACCAGTCTGTCCGAGAGATGAGTGCCCCGGTTGGCTCCTGTGGAGTTGGATTCACCCAGGAGAATTGATTGTCTGACCGGCGGTGGAGGGAGTATAGGATGGGGGAAGTTCGCAGCATGAGGACACCTCCGCTTCCATCGCCGGCCGAGGCCCCTTCGCCTGTTGCCGCACCTCATTCCCACCGTCGAGACTCCTGTCAATCAACTGGCTTTCTCCCCGTTCATAATGCTGGATTTTCAATCGATGGAGACGCAATCACAGAGATTAACACGTGGAATGCTAACTCTCATTCTTCTCCTATGCCGCTTGAACAGACTTCGAACGCATGCCATATCACAACGCCTGCGAAGAAAGACAATCCCGAAGCGGGGAAGTACCCAGAGGACCAGGGTCGAAGTTTGCAAACCCTTAAAGAGCTCCGGAGGCAGATGGAAGAGTTGCTCGTCTATCAACAGATGCAACAATCACAGAACCAAAGCTCATCGGCTAGTCGCGAAGCCCCGTCGTCGCAAACGGATCCCGTCTCTTCAAACTCCCCTGGATCGACACGAAAAAGGCCCCTCAATGTATCGTTTCAGAAAGTCGCCTCATCCACAGGAGCGATGCCTTCAGCGTCGTTCTCCGATTCTACCGGATCTGGCGGTACCATTAGGGCCATGGATTCCACCCCCGAGAACCTCACCGGACAAACCCCGTCCTATCCGTTTCCAAGAATGCAAACGCAGCCTACGTCTAAGCCGTCGCAGAATTCCACGCTCAACCGCAGCGCTTTCAAGTTGACACTGCCGTCCGAGAAGCTAAAGATCCATATGGCGACATCGCAAACCGAGGAGGAACAACAGCTGACTGGGTTAGACACACCGCTCTTGCAGAGGTTTTTTCTACCACCGCAGGCCAAGAACGTGATCGAAGATCCGAACTATCCCAGTCCCAATCTGTATGATCTCACCCTACAATTGAACGCCGATCCGGGCCTGGATGCATGGTGGGGAAATGTTGTCCATATCTTGCAGGCGCATTACGGGGCCGAGAGAGTGTCCCTTGCTGTACCTGGCGATGCGACCGACCTTGAAAATGTTCCATGGGGCCAGAAAGCGGTTTTTGATCAGAACATCGAGCCGGAGTCGCAGGCACGGCATCTGCACGATGAAACGACTACCCCCCGCGATGATAATTCGAAGGAGACGGAGGATTTGGAGAAGAAGAAGAAGAACAAGGAATCATTTCTCACGGAAGCACTTGCCAATGGATCAAGCGCTTCGAAATCTCCAAAGCGACCGCCCCTTTTGTCACGGCACTCCTTCGCCGGGTTTGGCAAGGAGAGAAAGAACCCCAACATCCAGGATTCGGACGCCCAGCGCCTGCGGAGTCTTAAGACTCCGTCCAAACCGGAGGTTAAACGCACTTCTACACTTCCTGAGAAGTCCACCGCTGCGGAAACGGAGCCGTTACCTACGCAGGACACTCCTCGACAAGCCGTCTTTCCGATACCCAGGCCTTTAGAAGTCGAGGCAGATCCGCTGATCAAACGAGCTGGGGTGGTTAAGCTATTCGGACGCACTGAACCTGTTGTGTTGACCCGGGAATACTCTCAAGGGCTGGCAAGTGATCAGACTCCCTGTGAAACGCCAGAAGACAAGATCCAGGTTACGCCAACCGCCGAACCTTCGAATAATCAGGCGCCATACGCCGCTCGCTCGAGATCGACATCTAACCCCCCTCCGCTGGGCTTACAAGCACATCGTTCAATGGAGTTTTTCGACGAGTACGAGCAAATCCCTCCGTCGCCCTGGTCGCAATCTCCAGCTCCATCCCCGGCGCCTCGTGCTCATGCAGAGCAGAACCCTTTCTTCGTCAGCCATGCTGTCGACGAGGAGGCATTTGCGAAGCATCCTCCGCCTCATGACTACTCCAACCTAAAGCCGTTAGAAGCCATCGGTGTCGACTTGGCGAAGTCGGTGGTCCATATTCCGCTCCTGCATGCGGGCCGCTCCAAACAAACCTCGCCATCTACCTTACGGTTTCCCGTTGCCGTGATTTCGATTTTGTCTTCAATTATGCCCTATCCCTCAAATTTGAGGAAGTCCTTGGCCTATCTCATGCCCCACTTGACGACCTCGTTCTGTTTGGCTCAACAATACAGTCAGCTGGAGCGTCAAGTCACCTCCCGACTAGAGATTCCCCGCTATGGACATCTTCTTGGTCTCGGCGGAACATTCTCGGATGAGAGTAGTGAGTTGGAGCTCGTCGCTGGTCTCAGCGGCCACGTCAACTACACAATAGCGGATGACGGGTCTCTCTCGGCCCGCGCCAGTCTTTCGAGTCCCGAAGAAAGAGCCAATTCAGCTAAGCTGAGCCCTTCAATGTCTGGGCTTGGCACGCCGGGATTTGACTTGAGCAACATCGGAGCGGGAACAAATATCAATCTTAACGAATCACCAGGGCTGGCTGCAAGAATCAACAACGATGGTGTTGACAGCTACTTCCATGTTCAGCAGTCGAAGCAGTTCCGAGAGGCGATTCAGCAACGAATGAGGCTGTCGAAGGTGAAGCCGAACGCTGCAACCTCAACTCCTACGTCCCCTGGAAAGATTCTTGGGAAAGCTCCGACAGAGGAGGAGGAGCTTACCCCGCAAGACCAAAGCCCAACAATAATATCACCGTCACAAGAAGTCAAGGCGCCACCTGTCATATCACCGACGCAAACCTCTTCCCGTCACCCGTCAACAAACTCCTTTTACGCCCAATTGCAACGCGAGCTCCCGCGTCCGTTCACCGATACTGTGGCACAGCTTATGTTGAACTCAGTCCCCCTGCACCTGTTCCTCGCGAAGCCCCAGAGTGGCGAGGTGATCTGGACAAACTCGAAATTCGATGCTTTCAGGAGGAGTCAACCCCAAGAGCAGAAACTGCGGGATCCTTGGCAAAATATCCATAGTAGCGAGCGGGAACATGTCTCTCAGGAGTGGGCGAATGCTTTGCGCACAGGGTCTCAATTTACTGAACGAGTGCGCGTCAAGCGTTTCAATGATGAGTCGGCATATCGCTGGTTCATCTTCCGGGCGAACCCGCTACTGTCCGCCACGGGGGAGGTGCTGTACTGGATTGGTTCTTTTCTTGACATCCATGAGCAGCATATTGCTGAGCTGAAAGCAGCGCAGGAGAGAGAGAAGTTCGCCACCGATGCTAAGTACAGAGCATTTTCCAATTCTATCCCGCAAATAGTTTTTGAAGCCACCGAATACAGGGGTCTCATCTTCGTGAACGAGCAATGGCATCTGTACACTGGTCAGAAGCTTGAGGACGCGCTGAACTTCGGCTTTGCAAAGCATGTTCATCACGATGATCTAGAGAAGTGTGGTCTCCTGTCTGTTTACCTCCATGAAGCCCAGAAGAATGGAGCCGGTCTTGACTCGGGTGAGGTAGCTACGGAAGTGGCAACAGCTAAGCCCTCTCAAGAGAAACAACTGGGCCAGGGCGTCACGCCCGCCTTGGAGGAGCTTGTCAAACGCGGTGTTGCTTCCGTCCAGAGAGACGAGAATGGACGTGTCTTTTACTCGACAGAGCTCAGACTGCGCTCGAGAGGTGGAGACTTCCGTTGGCACCTCGTTAGGTTGGTCTGTGTCGAGACCAGTAGTTTTGGCAATGGCGAAGCGTCGTGGTACGGCACTTGTACCGATATCAACGACCGCAAGAATCTTGAGCGGGAACTCAACAAGGCCATGCAACAATTGAACAATCAGATGGAATCAAAGACTAAATTCTTCAGCAATATGTCGCATGAGATCCGGACCCCCCTTAACGGCATCCTCGGAACCATCCCATTCATTCTCGATACCCAGTTGGATACCGACCAAAGGAGGATGCTCGATACGATTCAGAACAGTTCGACGAATCTTCGCGAACTGGTTGACAACATTCTCGATGTCTCTAGGGTGGAAGCTGGCAAAATGTCGCTCGTTAACTCGTGGTTCCATGTACGCTCTGTGATCGAAGATGTTATCGACACCGTTTCATCCAGAGCTATTGATAAGGGCCTCGAAATCAACTATTTGATGGATGTGGATGTTCCGCCAATGGTGATAGGAGACAGGTTCCGAATCCGACAGGTCCTCATTAACCTCGTCGGAAACGCAGTCAAGTTCACTGCGCAAGGGGAGATCCACATATGCTGCTCCATTTACCACGATTCTTCGGCAATCATGAAGAAATCAGAGCTCCTGCTGAACTTCGATGTCGTGGATACCGGTAAAGGCTTCAGCGCAAGGGATGCTGAACGCTTGATGCAACGATTCAGTCAACTTGGACAGAATGGATCACAGCAGCATGCAGGTAGTGGTCTCGGGCTTTTCTTGTCTAAGCAACTGGTTGAAATGCATGGCGGCAAATTAACTCCGAGCAGCAAGGAAGGCCAAGGTGCAAAGTTCTCGTTCCATGTTAAAGTCGACGCCCCTCCGCCACCAACTCCTGACGAGTCCCGGGCCATTCGGCAGTCACAGGGTGCCTCTGAGGCGCTTGGAGCGCAACCGAAAATTGCATCATTACACAAGTACCTTTTCTCGAAAGATCCGCTTAGCAATAAGGGCCTGGATCAATCTGAACTATCGTCGGCCCTTGAATCGTCTCTCGCGAAAGCCCATACCAACGCTGATTCCTCCTTGCGTTTCCCGACGAACAACCTCTCTGAGCGATCCCCACTTTCCTCTGCCCTTCCAACTCCCGATCTCAGTACGGTGGACCCTCTCGCCAGAATCGACAGCTCTGCTCCGGGCGAAGGAGACACCGTGACCCCCGTAGGCGGGGATAGTCCGCCTCCAGTAACTGAGTCGTCTTCGCAGCCGCCAGTAACCCCTGCTCCAAGCAAGCCAGCAGCGTTGGATGGTGCAACCGATGCGAAGCAATTACCAAGCTCGTTCTCTATCCTGATTCTGTGCCCCATGGATAACACCCGCAAAGCCATCAAGCAACACATTGAGCAGGTGGTGCCCCTCGAGGTTCCGTTCTCTATTACCTCTACTCCCGATGTTGAAGACTGGAGAGACCACGTGAGTGATGATTCTGTTTCGAAGCTCACTCATTTGGTACTCAATCTGCCGAGTGTGGACGATGTTTCAGATGTGATTCAATATGTCTCAGAGTGTGATCCAGCCACTGCCCCGACTCTCGTCATCATATCCGATCTCTATCAGAAGCGACATGTCAATTCAAAGATCAAGGATTTGGCCGCCACCGGAAGGCGTGTATATACGGTGCCAAAGCCGGTCAAGCCCTCTGCCTTTTCTGCCATCTTCGACCCTGACAACCGACGTGACCTGAGCAAGGATAGAAACCAAGACATGGCGAGGGAGATCAACAATAACTTCAAGACCATGTCCAAGATGGTCAAGGAGGTGATTGGGAACAAAGGTTATCGGATATTACTCGTCGAAGATGACGAGACGAATCGCATGGTGCGTCCCTATTCATTCTACTTTCTGTTATCTCTATTCGAACGTTGTGCTGACAGCTCCTAGGTGATGTTGAAGTACCTTGATAAGATAAAAGTCATGGCGGAAACGGCCACGAATGGCCAAGAGTGCACAGAGATGGTCTTCTCAAAGGAGCCGGGATACTACTCCCTCATCATAGTAAGTGCAGAATTTCCTTGCTACCCCCAGTAGATCTTGTCACTCACGCCCTCCTCAGTGTGATATCCAAATGCCCGTTAAGAATGGCTATGATACGTGCCGCGAGATTCGTGGTTGGGAGTTGAAGAATCACTATCCTCAAATCCCGATCATGGCGCTCTCAGCCAACGCAATGACGGATCAAATCGAGGACGCCGCGCGCGCCGGTTTCAACGATTATGTCACCAAACCCATCAAGCACAACGAATTGGGCAAAATGATGATGGGACTCCTGGATCCCAATCGACCTTTGCTTCTCCTTCGCGACCGCCTCCGGGCCGACAGTGAGGATCACCACCGCGAATAATCAGGCAATGCATCTGCTTCTTTTTTTTCCGTGGATACTCATTAAACGGCCAACGGGCGTTCTTCGGGTTCTTCCTACTATAACCTCCGGAATCATTGCAGGGGTAACACGTCGTTGCGACCCTTCCGTGTCATGATATACCTGTTACACATTCAGTATTGTTTTTCTCGATCTTGGGATGGGGTCTTTTTGGATTGGCACGAGCCACCGGATGGAAAGGCGCCTCTGGATGATTTCAAGTTTTCACTTTTGCTTTCTGAGTCTCCCTATGTCTTCGCCCGCATCCCTTTTCCCGGTTGTGGAACCCTTACTATGCATCTGCATTCGGCATTCAAAGTTTGATTGATACCTCTCAGCATTACGGGGCCGGAATCTCAGGCTTGTTGTTCTTTGGACCTTCGACCTCGTTTATGGCGTCAGTTCTCGGATTTGTTGAGCAGTTCTCAATCGTCTTCTTCCTGTGAAGCCTTGCACTCTCAGGCCGCTTTCCCCGATACCAGCTTATGAGCACGACATTTAACTTCTGGAATTGTATTTGCAGATAACAGAGCGTTCTTATTCCCTCGCTGCCCGCTTTGGTTTTTGTCTTGTTCCCCCCTTCTCCTCCACCCTCTCCCCATCCATTTTTCTCCTCAGTAGATTATCGATTCTTTATACCTTAGTGAGTGATATACCCTAGCCGGGCTAGTTTATAATACCTGTTTGCATTTCGGGGAAATCGTGATTCGGCTTGGTGGATTGATTGATTGATTGATATCAGGGTTTTGCATTTCTTCCTAAATTCTGTGGGGGACGGAGTTTTTTTTTTCTTTTTCCTTTCCTTGTTTGGTTTGTGTGCAGAGGGACATGTTATGTCATCATCGAAAGATATCCACTGAATCACATGATTGTTTTTCTTCTGGGGTTGTTAGTTGTGAGTGTAGGAATTCAGTTGAACTGAATAGTAGACAGTTGGAGTGGTGAGTGACGCATGCCCTTCTCAGTGCCGACCGGAGATTACTCCCACGCATATCATCGAGGTATCTCCATTGGATCAACTGCAAAAGGGAAAGACGACTCCAAGCGTTCGTAACGTACCGGGACCTGGCTAGTTTGTTCCCTGCTGTATTAGGTTCCTGGTTAGGTCAAGCTCTGCTGTTGCATACGGTTCGACTGGTCAGGTGAACAAGAGATATCAGGACACCAAATACCCCCTTCCTTCAGTAATCGGATTTTGACCATGTGGTCGGTCTCTACGGCCACCTATAGTAACTCCGAAGGGCAAGTCGTGTCTTCCCACCTCCCCTTGCCTTCCCTGTGTAACCCCTTTGGGGGGGATCAGATGATGAATGGTAATTGGCTGTTAGCCTCCTTCCAGACAATGTAGTGAATGGCATAGGTCATAGATAGCATACTGTTATGATCGCTGCTTGTCTCGGGGGAGTGCCTGCAGGTGATAGATGTTGCCTTGGCTCACAATTTTTTACTCTACAATCGGGCGTTTCCTGTCGGAATGTATCTGGCAGCGCTTGCATCGGGAAACCTGAATGATTGTCAGGTATCTATCGAATCATCGCCCAGGGATTCCCATTCCTGGTTTCGTTTCTAAGCCCGATTCCTGATCCGGCGGCCATTCACATCGAGTCCGAAACATTTGCATTGGGCGGAAACCATCCGTTCAGTTCCCTGAGTGGCTATCTGCAGCTGATCTGCGTCCTGTGAGTCAGTCATCGAGACAGGCTTGCGCAGAGGGCACACAGAAGGAAAAGAAAAGAAAGCAATGGGGGAGGGTACGGGAATAACCCAGACGAAGACATAAAGCCGACACCAGATGATGCAAAGGTGCCGTAGGTTGCACAGCACAGTGAAGTAAAGAGACAAGAGACCAATTCATCTCCAAATATCGTTTGCTCCAGACAGCTCCGCCAGGGTGACCGCTGGCTGAGGGGTGCATGGATGACGTTAGGATTGCCGTCGCGGCTGGAATCCGCCGACCAAGGGATCGGGTGTCCCAGTTCAGTCAGGCATGAGCCTCGGTGATCGCAAGACAGACTAATCAGGTAGACTGGGTAGCAGCCCCCGGCCCTTGGATGGCGCATGTCATTGGACGAAGCCAGCCAACCTTGTTGGTAGCACCCAGCCCACAATGTTCTGGAAGAGCCAAAGAGACGAGGAGAAGCGGACCCAAATTCTGGCAGGGCCGAAAGGACTTGTACACAAGACGTATGTCGTAGTCAGCACCATGATGATCGATTGGAGCGAGTCGGGACCAACTGAAGACGAGCGCTGATGTGGCGGTGAGGGACGACGCGAGCAAACGGACAATAGGCGAATGAATGGCCTCGCAACCCCACATTCGCTGCATCCCCTTCATCTTTCCGTCCGCCGTGCATCCGCCATTGTTGGGTTGATGTCAACGGAGGATCTTAATGTTCTCCACTCCGGAGACATTTCCTCGTCCATCTTAGACCTGACACAGACCCCATCTGCATCGATTGTTGGGCGCTGTGGGCGCTGCGGGGACCGCCGTCTCACAATCAAAGCGGCTATGACCCAGCCTGCATCCAAGCCATCCTAGCCTGAACCCAGTAGAACCCATGCAGCAAAGACAGATGTCGAGCAGCCGGTTGCATGAGCCTAGAGGTGTCAGGCCAGACGGCGCAGGCGGGTTCGAGCCGCGGCGGGCCATCAGAAGCGGTAATCACAGGCAATGAGTGTACCTTATCGTCTCTCGGCACGTAACTCCATCTAAACTGGAGAGGACTGGAGAGGAAAACCCAAAATCGCAATAAAGCCAGAAACCAGCAAAATTGAAACCGTGTACGAGACCGTCCGCATTCGCGTTGGGCCTCTGTGTTACCCGGTAACCCGGTCGGGCTGATGGGCAAGTAGAGAAGACTTTTTCCCCAGGGCCTTATTGTGCTCAGGCATGCTTGGGTGGTTGGGAGAAAAGGCAGATGGCACGGTCAATCTCGTAAGGCAACAACCTCGAAATGGCGTGAGGCAGCAAAGGTTGTAAATTGATGGCCGTGCTCACTTGGGACGATCGGGGCATCGAAGCTCACTCACTGGCCATGACGGTCTGTCGGTGGATGTCACCGTGTATCCGGCGTAGATCCTGAGTGGTGTCCGATACCCCAAGCCAGCAATCCAAGCCAGCAACCCAGTCGGACATGGGGAGGCATGCATTGTGTGCCTCCGATCAACCTGTCAGCTTTAGGTTCGGGTCACGTATTGACGGCCTTTAATTTTCAATCTCGCGCCCTTCTCGCGCCCTTCTCGCGCCCCTGTCTCCACCGTCATTTTTGAATTCAGGCTCCAAGGCCATAGTTGCCGTTCGAGTAAACTCCTGTGACAAGAGATCTGCAGGAAATCATTATCGTCAAGGCTTCCGAGGACGAAGAATCAAGAGAGCCAGGTGCCCTTGCTGACCTGCAAGCCCGTCGAGTTGCTGCTGTCCAGGCCCACCCTGCCCCATTTGCCGTCGAACTTTCCACGTTGGCGGCGTCTAGAGCGCTTGGCCCCGTTGAGGTCCATTGCCTGAAGACATTTCCATGCGTGAGGAATAACACAGAGCCGCCGATAAGCGGATGGGGAAGCACTCGCAGGATCCGAAATCTCGGATCGCCTTTGTCCTTTCGCACGTCATATGCCTGGCACCAGCGCGGAACCCTGTCGGTTACACGGTTTCTTTGCATTTCCAGGGGCCAATTTCTGCCCTGCAGTGCCACTTGAACGATCCTAGGCTGCTGGGCCGAGATAGCATGAGGTAAGGCCGAGTCCGGTTCTTTGCACGCCCTTTGTGTCTCATTTCGTCTTTTTTCTTTTCGTTTTGGGTTTTCCCACCCCAATTAAATCCCGGCATATGCAGAGGTGTCCAACGCCAACCCATAATCCTCGATTCCGCTCTTTCTTAACCATCGGAGATCCTGTGATTTTGTCAGCCCCCATTTTCACCATCGCGAGTTGAAGTGCCTTGCATGCGGGCTTTGCTTTGCAACAGCCCATGCTGAGTTCAACCCAACAAGAAAGAAATACTAAACTTTCTTTTTTCTTCTGACATTGACCTTTGGCCCGCTGGTTCTCATGCTCACCAAACGTGCCGGTTGGGGAACGGAACGGCATGCCGGGATGTCAGACACTTGACCGCGAAAGAAAACAACGAGAGACTGTGATTCGATCTAGCTTATCGAATACAACGGCAGAATAGCTGGCCGGAGTCGGCAATTGGGCGTCTCATGATTCGGCGATTCTGTAGTCACGCAACTCCTATCACGGTCAGTCATCCTTCTGTTAAATGGGCAATCTGCCTCAAACTACAGCACACAAGGTTTCCCAGCCACCCAGCCTCCTGATATTGGCGAACACCGGTGGTCACGGAATTCAGTGGACGGAGGATCGAGTAATGCAGCATGGCAAATGAAGAATAGACAATGAGGAGCCTTCGAACTTCAAAGAGAAAGTAAAAGAAGGATTGAAACCCCAATAGCCATAGATGAGATCCCAAGGCGGAGGGAGTCCAAGTAACTCCGCACATCCGCCAAACCTCTGACTCGGAGGCATTCGCGCTGGCTCGTTGTCCTCACAGCCCCCTTTTATACCTTTGATACCCATTTAGCCCATTGCAACCCAAGAGGGGAGTTTGAACCTGAGACAGACTGGATGCCCGACAAAATCGCCACGGGAGCGCGGGTTGGGGTCTGAGTGGAGGAGGGTTGGGACGGGCTGGACCAGTCTCCGGCCATTCATAAATCTTCCCTAAATTTTCGTCTTCCCAGCCAGAGCGGGGTCAATTCGGAGGAAGGAGCGAATTGGCGCCCAGAAACTGAGGGACGGGCGGAATTGGGGGGTTGGGATTGGAGAGCAATGGAGGAGATGGGAGGGCGAAGGTCGAAGGGGGTGGGAAAGAAGCCTTCCGGAATGGCCCAATGCCCAATGGATCAATCCCCCATCCCATCACCCCCTCTCGAGGAAGGCCCATATCCTCGTCATGGAACTGCCCGCCGGATGGAAGACTCTCCGGTGAGGGCTATATAAACCTTCAGCTCATCCTCCCTCGTCGTGTTCCTCTCCTTCTTCCTCTTCTATCCCATCAAGTCTTTCTTTGTGACCCTGTCCTTCCCATCTTCTTATATACCCTTCCCCTCAGAGCGTTAGTCTTTAGGACTTGTCTTCTCAACTTCTCCTGTTCACTTTGTTCTGGACACTGCTCTGAACCAAGAAACCCGACGTTTTATCATGGCGACCCATCACTACCAGTCTCCTGCTCTTCCCATCAATGTCCCATCGAAGGCGCCGGCTCCTGCCAGCCTCTACCCTATTAGCAGGGTAGCTGGGTCTCCTCCGGAGATCACCGACACCAGCACGACTGCAGGAAGCCGCACCTCTGCAGGTTTCAGTTACGGGTCCGGCAGCCTCAGCGGCGACTATGAATCGAGCTCTGTCTCATACTCTGGCGTGGATGTTGTCGATATTCTGAACGACCGCATGCAGGACGTTTTCGATCCCACCCCCTTGGACAAGGGATTGGCGTTGCAGGCCCAAGCGTGAGTTGCCCTACTGCTAGGTCGAGGGACATGGCTGCCTCCACTCGATGAGCCGATTCAGTTTTCCACTTGTGACCGGAGTAACAAGAACATTAAGCTGACGAGACTCAACCCAGCTCTGGTCAACTAAATGCCAAACAACGAGAGCTTCTAGAACTACAAGCTCTGGCTCAACGTCGTTTGAAGGGCGTTCGTGCCACTTTCAACGATGGTATCAAAGTTGCTCGGGAGACCAAGCGGGACTTGGAGTGGACCCAGAAGCGTGTTAAGTGAGTTCTTAAGCCCCCCTGAAGATGCTTCCTGCGTCACACATGACGACTGTCGCCGGGCTCCGCTCCGCCCACGGGGTGCACGTGTATCCGCCGCGCTCCGCTGTCGACGTGATTCTTGGCAACGTAGTTGCAGCAGCAAATGCTCCAAGGAGTCTGACGCATCCAGACTTCGAAATACTAACGGATCGCAAATTATAGTGCTTTGAAGACAAAAGCTGAGAATGCGTTCCCCGACGAGTATAGACGAGCGGCCAGGAAATATACCTTTGACGACTGAATTTCCGCAAGGGCTCTTTGGCTCTGTTTGGCTTCTGTTCACTCTTGGGAGGTACACTTTTGACGAAGATGATGACGGCTTCCGTTTGGGGAAATTTGGGTTTCTGGGCTCGGATCAGGCGTACTTTCTTGATAGGCGATTTGCTCGGCGACATCTTGCGACTTGGGATTTTGGGATGGTACACGTCGTTGCTTTTTTCTCGGGCGCAGTCTTTAATTATAGACGCGTCTTTTCTCGATAGTACATCGATTCCGATGGAATATATTGTTGATTTTTCGAACATTGGTGTCTTGAACCATTGGCAGCAGCAGGACTTGCCGTGGTGGGCCAGATCACGGTTATCAAGGCCAGATCCACGTGCAAAGGACGCCGCCCACCATGCATCAGGCTGGAACAGGCGGGTCAATGGCGAAAGTCGCAATCTAGCTTGTGACAAGCAGGGGCTAGGTCATGTGCCATCCCCGAATCACACTTGATCACACTTGGCGGGATGGAATCGTGGGGGGAACGTGGCACGGTCCCCTGAGGTATCCTGCAGTGCATTCCAGTGAAACCGGAGCATGAGCAACATTCCCAGCAGCAAATTCCATACATCGCGGATTTCCTCGGACATGACACAACTGTACCCTGTCATGTGTGCATGCTGAGCGTGGTATCTGTCTCTCTTTCTCCCCCTAGCTCATGACGTCCTCCGAACCCCCACATTGGATGAGCGGAGCTGAACCATCTGTGGACCTCACTCCGCCAGCGGGCATCTCTGCACCGCCTGCTCCGCTCCACCCTCTGGTTCAGGGTGTGTTGGTCAGCGCTTTTGCGGACAATTCACATCCTGCCACGGTCAGGGGTCGGGGTTACTGGGCGTTGAGTAGTGGATGACCTCCATAAGAGCCAGCCAACTGTAGATTTTTTTGTCAAGACTGTAGCAGGAGTGGAATATGCCGTGAAGCTAGCAGTGCACAACAACATGTCACCACTTTGACCGAGAAACCAGGAGTTAGCTAGCTAGTCAGCTTCAGAGAATTAATTCCCTGACATGTAGGTAGCCTTGTCTCAGCCCCTGTCTTAGAACCTGTTCCCAATTGTCAGTGAATCCAGAACTTAAGAGGGACGTGCCATCACCAGCGCACAAAGACCCTATATCCCTGACAACTGAAACAAAGGAAAACAAGTCAGTTAATATGAAGAGTAACGCTAACGGATATTACCCTGCCGGATGAGAATGAATAGATCGATTAGGTTGATCTGTGGATACTGACATTCAAGTTTAGGATGAATGAAGTGAGTCGTGACATGAGACATTGTTCAAAGAAGGATAGGTAGAAAATTGGTACGGAGGTAGGTACGTTCCCCCCACCCCCCCTGAAATATCAACCTGCGACAAGGAAGGAGTCGATCGATCAGAAAACCAGGTAGTGTCGTCATACCATACCTCTGTTGAGGGTTCGGGAAATGAGATGGTCGGATTGTAGAATTAGTCATTTTTGAGCATCGTTTTCAGATATTAGTTGGATGTTTCTATGATGAGTTTCTTTTTTTTTTCTGTCTGGGGGTGGTTCTAGATGGGGAGGTTGCAGGGGTTCGGGGGCAGTTGGTACAACCTGTTGCATGTCATGTTCAGGGGGCCACGGGGGAGACGTGGTACTATATTTGGATTCGGACTATTTGACTCTTAACTTATTGCGAACCTACAACGATTGACTATGGCATCTGATGCGAATCAGAAAATACTACAGCGTATTGAATTGTCATGGTTTCGAGATTACGTCTTCTCATTCCTGTATCACATCTCATCCTATTGTTTCCGTACGCAATCAACGACTCAGGAATGAGTACTCCGTAGCTTGCTACCATTGCTCGTCTGTCCACTTCGTATGCTCAGCCCATACAAAGCTCTGACCTGATGTGAGAAATCGTCAGTTTAGTGGGTCTTAAAATCGCCAGTGTCCACCTACCGATATTTATCTCGCCTGTGTGTTCTGTTCATCCAGCAGACGAATCTCTGTCTGCAGTCTTCATAGTACATCATCCATCCACCACAGAGGACAAAGCACATGTAGGCCACGCAGTCACCATGCTATTTTTCAGACTCGAGGCCTCAATTGTACTAGTCCGCGCCGTGCGATCAGGATCTATATCAATACCCCATATGAGCACTGTGCCAATATAATAGTCAGATCAAACGAGTCCAAGGAAACAAAACTCACCACCAATGCTGATTGGGCTTAATCAGAACAGGCTTCAAGCCCTTCCACGGGTCCTCGACAAAGTTTGGCCGGAAATAAACCGTAAGCTTGTTGGGATGCTTGATCCCGAGGGACGCTTTTGACAACTCATCTCTCCGAAACCGGTAGCCATTTGGAGCAGTGTAAACCAGGACATCTTGAGGTGGTCTCCGATATGGCACCGTCCCCTTGTTCTTGTGGGGTTGGTCACCGGCTTTAGATGCTACTTTGGCGGCTGGGCTTGTCATAGAGCGGCTGTTGGCGCTCGCTGTAGGCTTCGCGTAGTGGCCTGGCCAGAGATAGGATGGTCAGATGCTGCCTGATGGACTGTCACGGAAAGTTGTGTTACTCACCGTTAGGGACCATGGCCTTGATGGGCTGCTGAGGACGAGGCGGCTCCTGATGACGAGGCTCTGCGTCCACGGGAGATGATGGCTTGCCAGGCTGTTTGCTATTGGCTCTGGCATTCTTGCTAGGAGAAACAGTCGCGTCGGCTTTGTTCTCCATGCTCGCTGGCATGGGCGGAGAATCGTTCACAGACTTGCCGTGCGAAGTCTGAGACTTCCATTCCTCGTAGACTGAGGATCGAACCTTAGGGCGTCGGGGGCTCAGGCCTTGGGGCTGGCTGGGCATTGTCTGGTACTGGGGCATCCTGTTCATGGGAGGACTGCCCGTGGGGAGGGTGTACTCCTTCAGGGATTCAGGTGCCCATTCCTGTAGAAACTCATACTCCCGCTGCGACAACTCTCGTTTCAGTATCTGCTGGGGTCTGATAGCACAGGCCGACATTGTAATGGATATATGAGGTCGCAAACTTGAAGGGAAAATGCTGTGAGAGAGTTGAGAGGATGTCTAACTAGAGAGGGAACAGATGAGAAAGATGAGGCGAGAAGGGGCGACAGAGAAGTGTTATTAAAAGGGGGAAGGTAGTGAGTGAAGTGACACGGGTGATACCCTCGTGGAAGAGGGAATTCCCTGCCACCACCTTATTCAACCGAACACCGCCCACCGGATTTCTCATATCCGGTACAGTCATATCATTGTCATTATGAATACCTGTTTCAGCAGTATACAAGTGAATAACCAGCATAACAACAATATCGTAGCCCTCACCCGGCAGTAGCCACAACACTTTACGCAAAGCTACGCTCCTCTTCGATGGCCCTGTTGATGACACGCACAAAGCGTCCAACTTTATCCGCATCCTGCTTGGCTGTCTCAATTCCCAAGAGAACCTTTTTCACACCCACACCGATGGTACGGTCGTCTGAGATGGCGCCAATGCTCTCCAGCACCTGCCCGACTTCCTGCTCATCAAATGCGCCCGACTGCTCCAGGATGTGTTTCAGCTCATCATATGTCATCACATTTGGAACCATAATGTCGGCATTGAAGGAGTTGTATACGTCCAGCTGCTTCAGTACCGCTCTCTCCGTTGAGGTTGCTAGAATCAAAAGTCGCCGGCCCTTATTCGGCTGCTTCTTCAAGAAGACCATCAAGGTCTGCAGAATTGTGTTGCTGAAGCGAGGCCCAATAGGAACCCACTCAATAAGTCTCTCGATATTATCAACGACGACAACACTCGTCCGACTTTTGTAGGCATCATCGAAGATCTTGCTGATATGCTGAACCTTGGCCATTTCGCTGAAGCCAACCATGTCCTCAGGACTGATCAGTTTAATGAAGGGAAAGCCAGAATCGATGGCAATCCGGGCTGCGAGGGCAGTCTTGCCACTTGCGGGGGGGCCGTGGAGCAAGACTGAAAACAGGGGTGAGGATTCAGCATTGCTGACTTGCTTTACAAACAGCTCTCCCTCCCTTAGAATTTCGTTGATATTAGGCGAAAAGTGCATAATGCCGTATTGGATACGACTTGACAGCTCTTCCTCGGAAACACCAAACGCGGGCTTGACCTCATCAAGAGCATGATGGAAGTCAGACCGGTTGACCTTCATGTTCACGACATCGTCGCTGATGCTGGCCATTGTTCCAACCTTGATATGCCGAGAGAAAGCAAAGGAAGATGCGGATTTGACAAGACCGGCAATTTCAGCACCAGAAAAGTTCTTGGTCATTAGGGCCAGCTCGGGCAGATCAACATCATCGTCCATGACGTTGTTATCCCGCATTTTTTGTGTGTGGATCTTGAGGATTTGGGCTCGACCTGACTCGTCAGGAAGGGAGATTTCCATATGAACTTCGAGACGACCGGGGCGCAACAGTGCTTCATCAATCATGTCCTTTCTGTTGGTCATACCAATGAGCAGAATGTTGTTGAGCTGATCTACACCGTCGAGTTTCGAGAGCAATTGGTTCACCACGCTATCACCGACACCGGTACCACCGCCCGCTCCACTGCCACGCTGCTTACAGACAGCATCCAGTTCATCGAAGATGATGATATGAAGACCGCTTTCTTCGCCCTTCTCCTTGTATTCCTTTTCGGCATCCGCAAATAGTTTTCGGATGTTCTCTTCTGATTGACCAACGTACTTGTTCAGTACTTCCGGTCCGTTGATGACCTTGGGTTCCCTGGCGTTCAACATTTTTCCAATTTGTCGAGCAATCAATGTTTTACCAGTTCCCGGGGGACCGTAGAGCAGGATACCTTTGACGTGCTGAAGTCCGAGTTTTTCCACCAGTCCTGGAGGGAAAATACGGGAGGCGAATGCACGACGGAAGATGGTGCTGAATTCCGAATCAAGACCACCGATGCCCATGTTCTCGAACTTGAAGTCAGGCTGAATGATAGAGTTGGCTGCTGGCCGGCGGTTCGAAGGCTTCATGTTGATGCCGGTACGGGCATCCTTGAAGAAGGTAATCTGGGAGTGCCTGGTGAGGATACCTCTCGCCGCAGGATCCGTCTCGACACTTCCTCCGCTAGGATCAGGGGTCTCAGAAGACAGATCAACTCTTTGGACAGTTTTGACCGTCAAGAGAAGGGGGATACTCCGGTGATCCATAAGGATCTTCTGACCGGGGGCAAAGATCTGATTTTCGAAGTTCTGTGTATATCAGATCAGGCACTGCCCTTTTCTTGACGTGGAAGAAAGAAGCATACCTTGATCACAGCACTTCCCAGCTCATCTTGATCGTAAGGGGTCTCAACCCTCTTTTTCCCAGCAAATCCTACCTCGATATCTGTAGAACCGACGTATGCCTCTCCGCCCTGACTGAAGGGGTCATAAATCTGGACCTTGACGGAGTCTGTGAAAGCGACACCGGCCCATGTTCGCTGGGGGTCCGACATGCTGATGTGTCCCGGGGAAAACCCTTCGAGCGGGCGAGCGGAGAAGACATAGAGGTCGTTGATAAGTAGTAGGAGATCGTGTCCATCACGGGAGGGTGGGAAATCCTGGGTGGAAACGGCAACCCTAGTCACAGTTAGTCGGTAATTGAGAGAGCGCTCGCATCTTGACATACAAGTTTCCGAACGTATAAACATTATCCGGGCTCTTTGCAGGACGCAGCGTCCACGCTCTGCCTGAGCTCACGGGCTTCTCGCCAACCGGAACCCTTGAAGGCGCCTGCGGGGGCCTTCCCATAGACTGCGGCGGTGCTCCGTATCCTCCGGGACTAAGTACCAAGTATATCAGCCACCATAGTAGTCTTGTAGTTCGCCAAGATGAGACTCATACCTTGCTCCCGACCTGGGCGGGTAAGGAGGTGGTCCCTGGTTTGGATTCGCATAACCGTCACCTCGAGAGGGACGAGAGCCGAAAGGATTAGGCACAGAAGGATAATTATTGCGGTTGAACATCTTCTTCGACCGAAGGAGCGGAGGCGTCTAAGACACGAATTATAAGGATATGCAGTCAATTCCGAGCCGGAAGGCAAATGCGGGTTGAGCGTGGGGGAGGGCGATGCGATGCGACGCTGCCGGCAGCTGTTGCGTTAAGCCAAGTGATCAAGTGACCAAAAAATTACTAGTAGTAGATAGTATATGAGCAAGAACGCAATACCCGATAGCAGGAAGTTAGCCGGAGAGGAGAGAATGAGAGTGAGAAGAAGTGGCGGTTAGTTGCGTTGAGTTGGGGGGGAGCTCCGTTCGCGACACATGGACGTAAGTGAGGCTTAGGCTTAGGCAAGGTACCCTGACTTGGCTTGCCCCATCGATCGGCCCGCCCCCCTCCGTTCTCACCGATGACGCTGCCCTCGAGCACCGGTTCATGCACCCCAGTTCGATCTTGGATGCTTGACGTGTCTATTCCTGCCAGGATACTCGTTATTCAAGATGCCTCTGTCAGTTTAACTTTGGCCCTCGCTCTACCATGCTTGAATACTGACAAACCGTCTCCTCCGCAGTCACCTCCTCGGCAAGAAATCATGGAACGTCTACAACCAAGAGAACATCGAGCGCGTCCGGCGCGACGAAGCCCAGGCCAAAGCCCGAGAGGAGGAGGAAGAGCGTCGTATGCAGGAGATTGATGCTGAACGAAGAATTCAAATCCTCCGCGGTGAAAGGCCTTCGACTCCACCTCCACCGCCCTCAGCGTCGTCCGTCTCCCAACCAGATAGGAAAGCTTATACCGATGATACAGGACGATCGAGAAAAAGAAGACGTCTAGCAGGAGAAAACGACACCGATAGAGATATCAGGGTTGCGCGGGAAGATGCACAGTCGGCACTGGTCAGGCGGGAACAACATGCTCCCGCTCGTTCGAGCGATGCGCCACTTCACGATAGTACTGGTCACATTGATTTGTTTCCTTCAGAGGCGAAGCGCAAGCCCGTAGAAAAGAATGCAGAAGCAGAGAAAGAAGCTGCAGAAACGCGGCGAGGATACGAAGATCAATACACAATGCGATTTTCTAATGCGGCGGGGTTTCGACAATCCGTGGGCCAGGCCCCTTGGTACTCGATCTCGCAGCGTGAAGGTATAGATCCTGAATCTGTGCCCAGCAAAGATGCCTGGGGAAATGAGGATCCTCTAAGGAGGGAGAGGGAGAAGGCTCGCATGGACGCCAATGATCCGCTTGCGGCCATGAAAAAAGGTGTCCGTCAGTTGAAGGCGGTTGAACAGGAAAGGAAACGTTGGAATGATGAACGGAGTCGAGAGCTCGAAGCTCTAAAAAGGGCCGAAAATCGCCGGTCTTCTCACCGCAGCAGGAGGTCGCCATCTAAAGACAGCCTTGAGGACTTCAGGCTTGACTCTTCCCCAAATAGACGCCGAGACGACAAAGATCGGAGATCTCATCGGCATCATCGGTCTCGCAGAGATAGAAGTCGAGATCGTTCGCGTCGACGAACCTCTCATTCTGATTCGCGTTCCCATCGTTCTCACCACGATCGTCATGACCGACGTGGGGATACCGGACGCCATGATGAGGAGCAGAGATTGAGATATAAATGATTTATATTTATGCTCGCAGTGGCACTGCTCGGCTTGTCACCGTTCATGAAAGCTCGCACTGGGCCTCTGATACGAACTAAAACTACAGATGACAGGATTATGCTTGAGGCGTACTACACTTTTTTATTGATTGATTTGGGTAATAACTATGACCCTGAGGGGCGTGTGAAGAACGCTAGAGAAATATGCTCACTGCAGACCCCACTTCTGGGCACCCTTTTCGGTTTCCTGGGCCTCCCATTCGATGGTAATATCCAAGGAGCGTGATTTCTCCGATTTCTTCTGGTAACCGACCTTTCCGGTAATGGTCTGTCCCTTCTTCAGAGGAACGCCTCTCTTCTTCTCGCGGTCAACGAGAAGGACAGCCTGCTGCCAGTGTGTCTCGGTGCCATAGGGCCCCGTGGTGAAGGCGATAAAGCCCTTCTTCTGCATCTCGGAAGGAATGGCATCGTCTGTAACGGCGGAATCCTTCGAGGGCATGAAGAAGATGTCGAACCAGACGGCAAAGCCATCCAGCGAGTCAATGTCTTCATTAAGAGTGACCTGGAATTCTTTCAAGAATGACAGCTCATCGACGGTGATGGTGTGCAGAGGAAGGGGAAGGAAGACGGAAGAATCGCCAGGGATCGAGGACGGCGGCACGGTACGGACCAAAGCCTCATCGTAGATACCAGTGAGCATGCTGCTCATATTGAAACCGTAAACACTCTTCCAGAATGAAATGTGGTTGGCAATGAACTCAGAGTCGGCAAAAGGCGCAATGCGGAGCGTAGCATGCGACGGCACCACAAGTCCTCCCGGGGCGAGATACCGATCCCGAGCGTAGATGACCGAGTCAAACATGGCTTCGAACAAAAGGCCATAGCCCATCCATTCGGAAATGATGATGTCAACCTGTTGGACAGGTAGGGTAACTTCCTCAATCTTGCCGCGGACGCACCTAGAAATCACATGTCAGTCACACATACCGTCGAAATGGAGATACTGCGGACGTACGTTATAACATCACCGAAGCCATTCTCGTAGACGATTTCCTTGGCCCTATCGATGATGTTGGAGTTATCGACTGAGATGACCTTTTTCGCACCGGCCTTGGCGCAGAACATGGACAGAATTCCAGTTCCGCAACCGACATCAAGCACAACCTTATCCTTGAACAAATGCTTGTTCTCGTACACGAAGTCACGATAGGCGTCAGTGCGGATGGCATCCTTGAGCATGGACTCGTGGATTGCTAGAGGGCCAGCGTGTTAGCCAAAGAGACAGATCCCAGGAATCAAGGAAGTCATACCGTTATAGGCATAGGACGTGAAGTAATCCGCATCTGCTTCCTCAATCTTGCTAGCGGCCTTTTGTGCCGACAGAACGCTTGGGGACGAGCCAAGCTTCTCATCCTCCTTAGCCAATTGTTCTTCCATCGACTTCTGCACGGCCTCTCTGTACTCAGAGAACTGGGTTTGCAGGCGTTCCAAGTCCTCCTGAAGCTCAATCACACGCCTCTCAGCATCGGTACCGCCAGCCGCTTCGGGAGCCTCATCTTCGATGTCATCCAGACTATAGAGAAGAGCATCGTCCTCCAAGACGGGCTTCAGATAAACTTCGTCGTCAAACTTGTCCGTGGAAGAAACGTCGGGGGACATGTTCCCGTCCTTAACCTGAGTCCGGATGTAGTTGACCAATTTAATAGTGCCCAGGAAATCCAAGTCTGATAGCAGAACGCAAATTGATATAGGTTAGCCATAGTACACATCGTGGTATCATCCAATAGAGATCGTCCGGGCCTGAGCAGCGGATGGAATATCAAATGCTAAATCCAATTCGATTGACTACACACCGAGCTCCTTTTGGATCCTCCGCAGGTCAAAGTTGTACTTTTCTTTGGTCTCCTTCAGCATTGCCCGCACGTCGGAGTAGACCTTGTCGGAGAACAGGCCAACCACAGGCTGGGTCTCGTCATCGGGTTCGACATCTTCCCATCCTTCCTCGTTGCTAATTTCCGAGTCGTCGGAAGAGACGGAGCGTGCATCGTTGTCGATGGGCAGACGCTCAGAGGGGAGGGCGGAAGCAGACATGGTGCGACTGCGGGGAAAGACAACCAATTGAGGCGGTTTCTCTTGGATGAACGGAACCGGCTTCGGTTTTTCCAAGTTGCGACCAAGCGGAACAGATTCGGTGGTGCCGTCACTGATGTGGTCAAGACGAAATGAAGACGTCGAGTCCGATAGCCACCGAGAATCAGGTACAATGAGGGACGTGAGGAGGGGTTGATCGAGAATCGCCGGAAAAAAAGTTAAAAAAAGGAAAAAATAGAAAAACTCGGAAAAGGCAGCCCCGCCGGCAGGAGGAATTGGCGACTTTGTTTATCCACCTGACGGGCCCAGAACTGCGATACGCAGATAACCGCCTGAGGCCAGCGGCTTCCCCGCCAACAGCGTCACCGCTTCCCTCCAGCAGACCGAACCAGGACGGCTCTCGCTCGCACGCCAGACACCCCTCGGAGACCGTGGTTGCTGCCACTGAGATTGGGAATCACAGTATGTCGGTCTTGCTTTCCGTTCCATGTCTCTCTTACTGATGTGCTGCCATTAAGGAGTCAAGATCCCCCTGCCTTCATCCGTTGTTTGGGTTCCGTTGCCCTTCCAAACAACCATGGCTTTCTTCTTCAACCGCGGCCGATCGCGCCAGCCGTCTGATATTGCCCGGTCAATCAAGGATCTCTTGGTGAGACTTCGTGAATCACCAACAACCGCCAAGGTCGGTTCATTTGCTCTGCCCTGTTCACGTTTACTGCGCCCGATAAGCTGCCCGAAAACAAAGAACCACCTACTGAGTCCAACCCCCTATAGGTCGAGGATGAATTAGCAAAACAACTATCGCAGATGAAATTGATCGTTCAGGGTACTCAAGGTATGCTTCACTCATGGTTGCTCTCCTCTGGCCCTAATCGTGCAGAAATGGAGATGGTTATGGACATTGACTGATGCGAGCTCTGTTTCTAGAAATCGAGGTGTCCCCCGAGCAAGTTCAAGCATTAGTGCATGCCACCCTCCAAGAAGACCTGCTTTATGAACTAGCTCAAGGCCTCCATCGGCTTCCGTTCGAGGCCCGGAAGGACACGCAGACCATCTTCTCACATATCCTCCGATTCAAGCCCGTCAACGCAACACATGCTGACCCTCCGGTTATTTCATACATCGTCCATAAACGACCCGAAGTGATCATCGAACTGTGCAAAGGCTATGAGCACAGTCAAAGTGCCATGCCATGTGGTACTATACTGCGAGAAGCGTTGAAATTCGACGTTATCGCGGCGATCATTCTTTACGATCAGTCGGAAGAAGGAGAGCCCGCAATCCGACTTACAGAGGTCCAGCCAGGAGTGCCGCAAGCAGGAACTGGTATATTCTGGAGGTTCTTTTACTGGATCGACCGAGGCAGCTTTGAGTTGAGTGCCGACTCATTCACAACATTCAGGGTAAGCGACCCCCACTGCTTCTCGGACTGGCGTTGGGTTATGTTAACAAAACTACAGGAAATCCTGACCCGCCACAAATCCATCGTGACTGGCTATCTAGCGACAAACTTCGATCGCTTCTTTTCCAAATTCAACGAGGTACTAGTACAATCTAGTTCTTATGTCACCAAACGACAGAGCATCAAGCTTCTGGGAGAGATTCTGCTTGACCGGGCAAACTACAATGTGATGATGGCTTATGTTGAGAGTGGCGAAAACCTCAAGCTGTGCATGAAGCTTCTGCGGGATGACCGGAAGATGGTCCAGTACGAGGGATTCCACGTTTTCAAGGTATGTGATGGCTTCCAGATTAACGGACTGCAATTATTGCACACCTCTGACAATGGACGCGACTCAGGTGTTTGTCGCGAATCCGAATAAATCGGTGCCGGTGCAGCGAATCCTGATCAACAACCGCGATCGGCTGTTAAAGTTTCTACCGAGGTTCCTAGAGGATCGGACAGATGACGATCAATTCACCGATGAGAAGAGTTTCCTGGTGCGTCAGATAGAGCTGTTACCCAAAGAACCAATCGAACCAGCACGGTCCGCACGCGAAGGGTCTCGATCCGGTATCAACACAGCTGCGGTGGCCTGAGATTCAGGCGGTGCGACCATTGGCCGGGGACGGACAATCATTGATTCCCCCGAGCGATTATACACTTTCCCCTGCTTTCTTTTGTGAACTAGGCATTGATGGGTCTGCGTAGGGGGGCCTGTGTGCACTGGGTGTACGCTAGGCCCCCGGGTCGTTTGCATTGAAGGCCAGCTGGATTCTGGCCTTTTTCGGAGTTAACAGAGGGAGTCGATATCTAAGGGCAAATTAGGTTTGATATGAAACCTGGAAACCGGCAGAAGGAGACGGGCAGCGCTAGAGGATAAAGGAAAACAGAAAAAAGGGAACCAGTCCTTGCATGTAAGTAGACCGGATGTAGGGAAGTGGAGCAGAGCGTTTGACGATATAGTTAGTCTGTATGCTATGGGTTGAACTTGATCTTCGTTCTTCATCTGAGCCACTCCTCCGTCAAGGGGGGGCTGTCCAGTCCAGCTTACTAGTAGATACTCCGTACTGTCTCTCTAGTGAGTAGGAAGTACGGAGTCGCTACTACTAGTGACGTTGCTCAAGCAGGACGGATTCTCCCGCTTCCCCTTTCCCGGCCGGTTCCCCTGATGTCACCCCTCCCTCCATCACCACCAAAAAAAATATCAAAACAAAATCAGCCAAGACACCAAAAATGTACCGGAACGAACAGTGTGTCTGTGTGTCTGGGTGCATCAGATCCCAGGTTGGGAGCCCCAATTTCCAGCCGGGGTGGTGTGTGCGCAACGAGGGGATCAACCGTCAATCCTCGCTGGCAAACCGTTAGGCACGGAATTTCTGCCAGGCCCACGATAGAAGAATGAAGAATGATGGGGCGCAATCCCACGAACTCACGAATTGAACGGGCGTCTGGGCGACGGCGGGCTATCTAGTATTACACTATTACTATTCTTGTCGGACGACGCAAAATTAACCGTGTTGAAGATCCACTGCTGCGTGGCCCTCCCGAGGAATTAAATGATACTAAATTAATTCGATAGTGGATCGCAGGCGCCCCCCCTTCGTGATCCCTGCCTGGACTTGGTTGAAGGAGGAGTTGGCGTCGTAGGCGTCGTCGTCAATTTTTTTGGTTCGTAGTAAGTATTATCTATCTACAGTAAGGACGAAGGGAGTATACGGAGCAGCCAGTATTCATTCCCCCCCCGATAGGAGGTGAGAGATTCTCCTCCATTCCTCTCTTACTTTCTTTTCTTTCTTCTCCAATTCTCCGGCCTCATTCTTATCCGACCAGAACCAGATAACCTCATCGTGACCACATTCCTTAAACCCCCTCTCGGCTCCGACGCTGCCTCAATAGTTCCCTCGTCGAATTCTTTGCAGTTGGTCCGACTGCCAACCAGCGACCAGTGCCCCAGTGCCGCGGTCCAGAGCCTCTCTCCCTCTTAACTCTCTCCCACCGTTGGGGGCGGCCATGGTTTGCTACGCAGGAGACCTCTTTCCCCCCGTGTCGTTCATTCTCCGTCGTGTGACCGTTTAATTTTAATCTTAATACTATTCCAAATCTTAATCAATCGCATCCAGCACCCATCCCAGATCCGTTCCTTTGTCGCTCCAGCTTCTCCCCGCCTCCCTCCCTGTTGTCCCTCCCTCCTTCGCTCGCTCCCTCCAAACAACCCCCCCCCTTGGTTACAGCTTCCACCACCGCATCGCCCCAAATACCTCACAAGGCCCCCTCCGATCAACTGCTGCCGATACTCTCAAGTGAAGGCATAAGCCATGCCAGCATAATGGTGGAAACGCGTTCCGCTTATATACCTGCCGCCGTCATGTCCGACTCCGCCTCCACCATCCAGACCGTTCCCTACGATGAAACCATTGCTGCGACCGCTCCTGTGGCTGTCCGATCCGCCTCGTTCCCAGTCCCAGTGGATTGTGCTTCGTGCTCGGAGGAAAGATCACACAGCGCATCTTCTGGAGGTGCTTGGGATCAATCAGGACCCGCGCTGTCGCAACAGAGTGCAAGATTGCTGCGAAACCGGTTCACTGCCTTGCCAGAGGCCGGGACTTCCACGGTGAGCTTGCGCTCGCTGCGCAATAGCATCCCCAGTATTGTCGTCAATGATCCCGCCTCCCGCCCCGTTTCTCGTCCAGGTTCTCGTCCAGGTTCGCGGTGGTCGGAGCGCAGATGGGGTGGTCTGAGAAGTAAGAAATCGGGCGAGTTTGATCGGAATGACGATGATGCACCTCCTGTGCCCCCCATTCAGGCGCCCTTCAACGGTATCGCCCTGGATATTCCGAACTCGGCTCTCGATGGCCTCGGGACGCAATCGATGCGGTTTTCCAAGCGCGGGAGCCTCATCCAGGAGGAATCAAAACGCCAATTACAACAGCAAATCCAGCAGGAGGAGGCAAGACGACGAGAGGCGGCACAACGGACTCAGAACAGGGAGGATCAACAGCAGCAGGTGCCCGATGAAAGGGAACCGGTATCCCCCGATGTGGCTTCGGAGCAGACTAGCACAGAGGCGGAGAATATGGACATGCCTCCGAGGCGGTCAAAGCCTGCATCGACCCTGCGCGTCAGACACAGCGCCATTGCAAGCAGAGCCATCTCCGCGGACGAAGACATGTTGTCGCGACGGGTACGCCTCATGTATGAGAAGGGGGAAGAAAATGTGACGGACTCTGAGGTGGCCAAGTCAATGGCCATGGAGAACGGTGTGTTGTGGGAGGATGGGCCGACCAGTATAGAGACCTCTCGTCTCTCTGGACCCAGTGTATCAGGCACGGATACCAAGAGTGTTGTGTCATCTCTCGGTCCTGACAGTGTTCCGGCCATCAAAAGAGAGGCCCACGAGCTGGCTGGCGGCATCGAGTACTGGCAGAACATCAAAGCAGGGGATGTAGATCGATATGGTTTCATCCGGTCGCCGACATCCAACTCCACCGAAGGCATTGACCCCAGTCCGATCCAGCGTGTCTCTACCAGCCTCCTTCTGGCTTCTGAGACACCGCGGCGGAAGCATTCCATCCGTCCCCCATCGGCTATTGGAGGCAACCGCTCTTTCACAGGCCTTACAGGCCGGTCTCCAACACGGAAGTTGTCTGAGCCTTCGATACGGCCCACGTCATCCCACAGCATGTATAGTTCGTTGATGATGCGACGGTCAACCTCGCGGTTCCGTCGGGCGGCCAACCATCTGCCTCATAATCGCGATCGTCGCGTTAAAGATGAGGCGAGCGATATGCTCACCCATCCAACAGGTCCCGTAACACCTGGGGAGAGACAGGATGCAGCCGCCGCCCGTGCGGCGAGAAAGAAAGAGTGGGAAAGAGAAGATAAATGGACCAAGATGGCCCGGCCGATGAGGAGCCCAGATGGTGGTGGCATGACGTTCGAGTTTGACACGACTAGCTCCAAGCTGATCGAACGGACTTGGAAAGGCATCCCTGACCGATGGCGAGCAACTGCCTGGTACGCCTTTCTGAAAGCTAGCGCCAGACTGCACAGCAACAGCCCTTCGGAAGAGGAGCTTATCGAAGCGTTCAATGAGTATCAATTGATCTCGTCGCCCGATGATGTGCAGATCGACATTGACGTCCCGAGAACCATCACCAGCCACATCATGTTCCGCCGACGCTACCGCGGAGGCCAACGGCTGCTATTCCGCGTGCTCCACGCGATGTCCCTGTACTTCCCCGACACGGGGTACGTCCAGGGCATGGCCGCCCTTGCTGCGACCCTTCTCGCTTACTACGACGAGGAACACGCTTTCATCATGCTCGTCCGTCTCTGGCAATTGCGCGGTTTGGAGCGTCTCTACCAGTCGGGCTTTGCAGGCCTTATGGAGGCCCTAGGGGACTTTGAACGTGAGTGGCTGGAGAAAGGAGAAGTTGCTGCCAAGCTAGTGAGTGACTCGACTTATTATTCCTCCCTTCTTTCCAATACAGGAATCTAATATGTTCAGAACGAAATTGGGATCCCCCCAACAGCATACGGCACGAGATGGTACTTGACCCTATTCAACTATTCCATCCCGTTCCCCGCCCAACTCCGCGTCTGGGACGTGTTCATGCTCCTCGGCGATGCCGAAGACCTTACGGTGCCCGGCTCCTCGGGCAAAGGTAGTAAGAAAGAGGCACCCACCAGTGCCTTCGGGAACGGGCTAGACGTCCTTCACGCGACGTCCGCTGCCTTGATTGATGGAATGCGCGACATCATCCTGGAATCCGATTTCGAGAACGCCATGAAGGTTCTCACCAGCTGGGTTCCCATCAAGGACGTAGAGCTATTCATGCGGGTTGCCAAAGCAGAGTGGAAAGTCCACCGTCGGAAAAAGTCATCTTAGTGACGCACTCTAGCACCATCACCACCGAAGTTAGGAGAAGGCAACCACACCAACATTGTGTGACGCCACGACCTACTCACGGCGTCGACCATATTTCACCATTCACCAACATCCCCAGACCCAAATTCACTTCTATAATACATCCTTACACTCACCCCCCCCCCCATACACCAATCGCCAATATAATCTTCTCGGCTCTTTCAAACAGCCTACTTACCTGGCTTACGAAGGATACCTTTACGATTCGACCAGACGATTCTTCATGATTGAACAAAAGTCGTTTTGTTTGTTTCTTCCCGGCATTCATTCTTATACCATCCTTCCGCTCCTTTCGTCACCTTTTACCTATTTATTTCACGGACGCGCATTTTATTAACGGCTCTCACATCACGATATCAATACACTCTCGTCGACACCAATCCCTCAGTCGACTATGAAAGAACCTTACACATACACCCTTACCTACGAACACCCTCGCTTTATCATTAATACCAACTGCTTGGTTGTTCATTCCCTCGTGGCCTCCAGACCTCTTCCCGTCCAAGCAGTGAAATCGGGCTTGTCGCGAGAAGCAAACCGAGCAAACCCACATTATTACCTCGAGGGTGTCTTGTCCTGTCTTGTTCACTTTCATACATACATACATTACGTACACAGTTACACTTATCTGCTGATTATTACTACTACTGCTACATCTACACCAACCAA